CTAGATTGTATGTATGTGTTTTCTTTGTATAATTCTTTTACATTTTATAATTATAATAAAATGGAAAAAGGTAATATTTTGAAACAAAGAGTTAAAAAACTTTTCAAGTGTAAATACTTGAAGAAAAGAATACACAGAATGGGAAGAAGCAAAACAAACTATCAAGTCAAGCAAAAGACTTGAAAACAATTTATACAAAGAGAAACACAGAATAAGACTTAGGAGAAGTTGCTCAACCTCAACAGTAATCCTGGATGTGAAAATTAAAAAAACAATGACTTACTATTTTACACTTTCCAGATCACATACAATTTATTTATTTATTTATTTATTTATTTATTTATTTATTTGGTTTTTTTCTCCGGTACCGGGAACCGAACTCACGACCTTGCGCTTGCCAGGCAGGTGCTTTTGCCGCTGAGCTAAATCCCCAGCCCCCACATACAATTTAAAGTACAATGGCAATAAATGTTGCAAGGAAAGCTGAGTAAGTGTGACCCTTACACACTCCTTTGTGAGAGTAACTGAGGGACCTGCTTTGAAAAACACTGTGCCATTACCTCATAAAGTTAAACAAGCTTATACCCTATGACCTACTGGGAATATCTCCAGAGAAAATCTTGTACATGTGTACCAGAAAACTGATACAAGAATTTTACAGTGGCATCACTTATATAATAATAAAAATTTGAGTCAACCTGTATTGGTAATTTGTGATACAGAGTCAGGACAAATGAAGACTATAGTTACCAATATGGCTTAACTTCAGAAATAATTTTGACTGGAAAAAGGCAACACAGATGCTTTCATGTGTTGTACAGAAATATAAATCTGTGTGACAAAACTATAAAGCTAAGCAAATAATAATAATGATAAAATTCAAGATGGGAATTGCAACTCTGAAGAAGGTAGGACCACAGAGAACCTACAGAGGCCTCAAAAGTAATGCAAATGATCTTGAATAAGATGGTAGGTACTCGGATGTGTCTTAATAGTATTAATCTTTTTTTAAACATTATTTTGGATCTATTTAAACTTTTCAAATACAAGTAAAATATAATACATGATTCTTATGTAACTAAAATAGTATAACTGGTCTTTAGTAATATTCTTTGCCTACCCGAAAAATCTTGTGCATCCTCATGGTGGCTGAACAAAAGATAAATCTCGTGAGAAGCAGGCGAAGGAATTCATCTCCAAAAAACTGGAGAAATGCCTGATCTGCAATGAGGAAAAGGTGACAGTAAAAGGAGGCTTATATGGAAATTACGTTTCAAAGGGGAGGCAACTTCAGGAAAGCCTTCTCAACTTTCCTGCCTGGGATAAATACCTTTAAAGACTCAAACAATTTAAAATAAGTAATCATTTTAAGCCATATAGTATATTTTTTTAAGTGTGTAGTTATATTAGTAGGGTACCTATTGAACGTGAATGGGTCAGTAGCTGAGCAATGTCACGGTTGATTTTTCGAAGATATTCTTGGCACTTTTCCCACAGACCTCTACGCATGCTTGACAATCCAGAAACAAACAGGAAGGCCATTAAAGGATTGTTCAAAAAGAGAGTGAAGAGGCTACCTCGTTGAGATTGATCTGCAATAACAAACATGTTATATATAGAGAGATAACAGTTTTAAGAAGGTTAAGAGATTTATACCAGGAACATTTTATTGAATGTTATTCTTTTTTTTTTTCCCTCCGTATACCAGGAACATTTTAATTTGCTGGTAATGTTATGTTAGAGCCATATCACTAAAATATATCCAACAGTGCAGATTTTCCACAAAACTACAAAAATATACTCCAAGCATACTGCCTTCTGCTGAACTTAAGATAGAGACTAGTACATATAAGAAAAATGGAAAAATATCATATTCTTTACTATTTTTTATCCCCAACTAACAAATTTTATCTAAATAGAACAAGCATTCACCTATGGACTGAGATAGAAGTCTGTAAAGAGTACTAGAATTGCCAATGTTCTTCATTCTCCTTTACTAATAATTCTTTCTCTGCCTATCCCTTAAATATCAACATTTTCTCTCTTTGGCCCTATGCATTAGTGATCTCATCTGCACATAGGATTTTAATTACCATTTATATGCCTACTGATTCATAATTCTCAATGTGCACACAGCCTGGAGACACTCTGTAAATATAAATTGGATTTCAAAACCTTAGTATAAGAATACATATGGTTAACATTCATTTCACTTTCCTTTTTCTCTCTTTTTTGGGGGCGTGGGGAGCGGGGGGCACTAGGGATTGAACCTAGGGGTCTTCACATTGAGCTGCATTTCTACTACCTTTTCTTAGTTTTGAGACATGGTCTTGCTGAAGTGCCCAGGGTAGTCTTGAACTTGTAATCCTCCTGCCTCAGCTTTCCAAGTAGCTGGGATTAAGGGATATACCACCACGCCTGACTTATTTTCAAAGGAATGTATTTTTTCTTTACTTTATTTATACTGACACATAATTCTTTAAATGTATATGATAGAATGTGTTGTTTTGGTATCCGTAAACATGTGTAATGATCATATTTGTGTAATTAACGTATCTATCACTTCAAATATTTGTCATTTCTTTGCAGCAAAACATTGAGTATCTCTTAGTTGTTTTGGAATAATTATTTGTTAACTACAGTCACCCTACTGAGCAAAACTTAGAGAAGAAAGTATAATCACAGCACATAACTTGACTCAAAAAGAAAAATTCTTAGTATATGTGCTGCTGAAGTGAGCACACAGAAAGAAAAATTCTTAACAGCTGAAATAGGAGTGTATTTTTGTAACAAATAATTGGGTTTCAGTCAAACACAAACAGCTGAGATTCAGACGATCCCAAGCCCCCAGTGGACCATGTCCAGCCATGGCAAAGGTCTCACTGTAACTAACTGAGTTACTCTGTGTTCAGTTACATAAGCGTGCTGCCTTCTCTACACAGCAGAGTTCTCTGAACCCCTTTCCATTTTAAGTGCTGCCTGATTCATGAGTTGTTCTTTGCTCAAACTGTTAGATTTGTGGAAAGTTTGTCTTTTTAACATATAAGAGCACTGTAGATACCAGAAACACAAACACCCAGAGCTGTACTCTTTTTCACAGAATTAGCAGGTATGTAGCACCTGTTTCTTTTTAGATCATTTATTTCACTATTCCTTGTTTTTAGTTGCTGGGCTGTCCAAAACTTCAATCTTGCCTTTCCACCTTCTAAATTAGAAAGTTTAATGTTATTCATGGTGACAGTCTTCATCCTTGTCCTCAGACTCTTAACTGTCCTCTGAACTGTCTTAGGAACTCTTCCACTATCCTCTTTTGAATCTGCTTGGTTCATCTCACATAAGACCACATGCCCTTGTATAACTTTGCCAAGGGTCCTGTTGATATCTTCAATATTGAAATGACTAGGAACAGTGGGTTCCATTTCTTTTCTGAGCTTTTCACTTGCCTGGACTTTCTGTGGGAGAAAGAAAGACCACTGAACTTGGTCTACTAATGGACTCCTCTCTATCCAAACTGTTTGAAGAGTAGCCATTTTTCTGGATTTAGGCTTGGAGGTGATGAGCAACTTGTCTCAAATACTTCCTTGGGCACTGCCCACAATCAGCAGCTCTTTGGACGCTCAGTACTTCTGAATGGGAGACGAAGTTAGGGTAGCAAAAGATTTGCTGTGGACCTCCATACCTCTGCAGTCCGCTAGACTTCCTCCCGCAACAACCGTGACCACATAGCTCCCCAAGCAGCACTTCCAGGAACCCTGTCCCATGTCATCCGGAAACATTCCTATGTGTTACATAACTTTTAAAGTGTGGTACTAGTTAGGCATGGTGGCTTATGCCTATAAGCCCAGCACTCTGGGAGGCAAAGGTAGGAAGATTACCAGTTTGAGGCCATCCTGGGAAGCCTAGCAAGAGTTATCTCAAAAAAAAAAAAAAAGAAAGAAAGAAAAAAAATTAAGCAAGGGAGGGCTAGAGATGTAGCTCAGTGTAAAGGCTTTGGATTCAACTGTCAGCTCCAACACCTGCCCCCTTCAAAGTGAGTACTGTACTCACCCTACATTTCTTTCAGGCAGGGTTGATCTAGACTCCTACATTTAACTCTCAAAGGCATTTCAAACTCACATGTGAATAACTGAAAGCCAATCCTTTCCCCTTCACAAAGTTTTCACAAACATACTTCTCGTCAATCTCATTTCTACTGGTGCCAGAGACTCGACATGTGTTCCTGCCTCCTTGATCTTCCTCCCACTCCAGCCCAACACAGTATTCCTGGTTCACTGGGCTTAGGATATTTGGCCAGCTGCCTTGTCACTGTCTGAGCTCTGGCCACCACCATCTTGCTACTTCCATCTGTGACCCTCTCCATTCCATTCTCTGGGAGGAGAACTGAAAGCTCCCCTCTTAACAACCCCTGATGGTTCCTCATTGTCCTCCCCTAAATCACATAACCAATCTTAGGTTTTTCATCATTCAGTCACTCAATATCCTTCACGTAGAAGAAGCTACTTTAATTTCTCGAAGTGCTGCCTAAGTTCTCTTGTCTCAGGGCCCATAGCACATGCAGTTTCTCTGCTGGAACACTGTATTCTGTAACCCTTTATCACCATCCTATTCTGCATGTGCTGGATGGCCACACTGGACATCATCTCATTCCCCGCTTCACCCTTTTGTGCTGCTTAGAAGTTTCCTGTGTGTGCTGCTCTGTCATCTCCTATGAAATGCTGTACCACTTACAGGCTGTTTCATCTTCTTCCAGATTGTGGCTCTGGGAGAGATATAACTGGGTCTTATCAGGTCAGAGTGCTCACCCTGGTACCTACCACAGTGTCTGGCAAATCCAGGTTGAATAACCATGTTGAGCAAATAAAGCAAGTCTTTACTAATGAAAGAACTATAGACTTTCATATACAAAGTGCAGAAACCCTATCTGACATTCCAGTTACTTAAATACCTCTGTTTTGTGCCCAGATGGAGAGCCAACAACAATGCCATTGGATAAATCCCAATGTTCTCACAAGGGAAATTTGAATCTATGTAACTGAACAACTCATTTAAGATATCTGAGGTCTTATCTCTATAGCACAAAGATAGGATACTGGACCAGAAAAGTATTAAGGACAGGTATTAAAAATAAGAATAGTAATAATAATGATAGCACATTGGAGTGCTTTTTAATGTACCCAGTATTATTTTCTGAGATAGGTAGTACTATTGTTTCCACTTGATAGATGAACTGAAGCACAGAATGTCTGAGTAACTTTTCAAGGTCACACAGCTAGTAAGTGGCTAGGTCAAATTCATTCGGTCTGTTTGCCTTCACACAATGGTGTTTCAGACCCAGTGACCTTGGTATTGACTCATTTGACCATGTAATTTAAAATAAAGCTATATCATCATAACACAAATTGAGAGCAAAAAGCATTCTTAAGTAGTGGGGAAGGGTTACACTCCTCCAGAAATGACAACAGGATGACAAAATCCTCAAAGCAGGAGAATTTTACCGTTGTTTGAAGGTAAGTTCTATCACTTTGTAATTTGGATTCTGAATATATAAACTTAGAATTTCTATATGTTTTTCCCTGTTAAACAGCAGAACTTACCTTAAAACAACGGTGAAAGTATCCAGCTTCTCTCAGGCATTCAAATGCTGACCATCACTTCCTGTGTCAAACTATGTCAGCAGACAGGACTTCTGGCTGGGAAGTAGCAGTAAAATGCCATCTCCCAGAGACACCAGCACTATTCACAGTTAGGGAGATAGTGAAACAGTGACAAGTACTGCTAAAACAGCGTGAAGGCTCTTTTAGTACTCTACCTACTAAATGACTGGGAGTTAGAATTAGGTTTTATGTGTTACCTATTAAGGACAAATCACTAAAGGAAAAAGTCTTTCAATTTTCAGCCATTAGAAAAATGACCCAAACACTAACTTGTCTCTCTGGCAAACTCAGAAGAGGTTCTTTTATTTAAGAAGTAAAACAAAGGAAAAAAGGAAAAAAAAAAAAAAAGCAAAGAAAGAAAAGGAAACCCTTAAGCTGTGCCAGTTAAGTCACTGTAACTCTCAGGTAGACTGAGTGGTGTCCTGGAGTACTGATCTGAAGGTCTTAAAAGATGCCTAAAATATGTAATCAAAGATGAAGAAAATCAGGCTACATGGATATGACAAGCAAATCAAAATAAACACTTGTAAAACAAAATTTCAAATTTACACATCATGAGTTCCCCACAGCAAGGGAGTGAACCACCTCTCTCAAGGAGGAATTTCTCAAGGCCTAACCGTAGCACATTAAGGAAGTCTGGCTGTTGGCAAGGCTTCTGGACATATTTCAGATTGACACCTGCCACATTAAACACCATCAATCCACACATAATCATTATGGGAGGAAAAAACAAATATCAACATTATTCAAAATGTAGCATCCATTCATATCCTACTCAGTAACAGGCACTGAAAAACGTACCTTGTAAAGCTTTTGGATATGCCGTAGGAGAAAGCAAACAGACTAGGGGCTGTCCAAACAAGTTTGTGAAGTTCTGTAATATATAAGAATTTAAAATCTTCATTAAAGATTTGATCAGTGGTAGTTACTTAGTAATTTTCCACAGTATATCACTAGTGCATAGATTGATTGGGCTCTTTAACACGTAAGCAGGCCAGAATATAGCTCAGCAGTACAGTGCCTGGCTGGCAAGTTTAAGGTCCTGAGTTCGATTTCCAGCATCAAAATAAAAACAAAAAAGCAGATGTAGACAGCAGCAGCTGCACATACACCATGTCTATCCAATTACCACACAGTCTTCCTAAATGGCTATCACAAGAGTGAAGTTTACTAAGAGAAGTACTGATTTTTAAAAGCAAATGAATGATTGTCATGTTGCAAGGAGAGGTCATCTGACTGTCCACCAAGAGACCACTCCATCAGGAAACACACACTGCATATTTTAACACAAGGTCTCACTATGTAGTTGAAGCTAGCTTTGAACTCACTATGCAGTCCAGGCTATCCTTGAACTCTCAGCAATCTTCCTGCTTCAGCCTCCCAAGTACTGCGAATACAGGCGTGGACTATCATGCCCTGCTACACTGTGTGTTCCAGAGTAAATTTTTCAAGATCTAGAATTTAGCTTTCAGTCACAAGGTTCTAAACTCTGATCTACTGGTATGAAAGGAATGGATCCAAGTCTTGTAGAGGATCATAGGAGCTGCTCACATAGCATACTGTGTAACATCAGGATGATAATATGTTAATTTACAGAGAGAATTAAACAAAGTCAAGTTTCCTTTTAAGCATTAAGGCTGATCTACATGGGAAGTAAAATCATAAACTCTTTGCAAAGTGACAAGATAAAACTCCTAACAGTAAACTGAATGTGAAACACATTTGTATGCACACACACAACTTTTAAACAGTAAAGGTGAAAGTTTCAACAAATAGAAAAACACTGTTTTTAGAAAGAAATCCACTCTAAAATGTTGTATACTAATTTATTAAAATTTAAACCAATCTCAATAAAAATACTATTTCTGCAGCTGAAAAAGGTAATTCTAAAGTTAATATGGGAAAATTAGATCAGCTAGGGGCTGGGGATTTAGCTCAGTGGCAAAGCGCCTGCCTGGCAAGCGCAAGGTCGTGAGTTCGGTTCCTGGTACCGGAGAAAAACCAAAAAAAAAAAAAAAAAAAAGAAATCAGATCAGCTAGGGAAAAAAAGGCAGGGTAGAGGGTAACTAGACTTATTTAGACTTTAAAACATAATTAAAAGACTTCAACACACCTAACAGGAATTTAGGGTCATTGTGACAAGGGACACAAAACTTGTGACTTTCCTCTGAGCAAATGTACTACACATGTACTCCATACACTTCCACATGGCTTCTGGGTAGAACCAATGGGACAGGGCTCAGAAATGGGGGAGGCTATAGCATTTAGTGGGGGAGGTGGGCATTTTGAGCCTATCCAGTATATCCATGCGTTATCTGTTGGTAGTCCTAGAAGTAGACTTTGAATTTCTATTTTCAATAAATTAAAAGTAATAAAAACAATTCTTGCTTCTTCCCTTCCCCCCCCTAAAAGGAAGACATAATTAAAAATATATGGCAGAACAGGCAAAAAACTAATTGGACAGAATGAGACCCCCAAACACTTAGGACTTCTTTAAATATAATAACAATGACAGCTCACATTGGTTTGAGAAACTGAAAAGCCAACTAGAAAAAAGGTTATCCCATACTTCATACCATATTCTAGGATAAATTCTAAATATACCAAAAGACTTCAATGTAACCAGGTGTGGTGGTGCACCCCTATAACCCCAGCACTCAGGAGGCTGAGCCAGAAGGCCAGCCTGGGCTACACAGTAAGAACCCATTTCAATAAATAAACAGAAAGAAAGGAAAGAAAGATTGATTTAAATGTGCTGGTAAGAGAAAGAAAGAAAAAAAGAAAGAGAGAGAAAGGAAGGAAGGAAGGAAGGAAAAGAAAGAAAGAAAGAAAAAAGAAAGACAGACAGAAAGAAAGAAAGAAAGAAAGAAAGAAAGAAAAAGAAAGAAAGAAAGAAAGAAAGAAAGAAAAAGAAAGAAAAAGATTTAAATGTGCTGGGTATGGTGGTGCACACCTGTAAAGCCAGTATTTGGGAGGCTGAGGCAGGAGGATCATTGAGTTTGATGCCAGCCTGGGCTACATAGTGAGTTCAAGGTTTGCCTCAAAAAAAAAAAAGAAGACTTAAATGTAAAAATTACAATAAAAATGGTGAAATATAAGGTGTCATTTTCTGATCTAGAAGACTCTCCTAACTATTGCAGTACCTTAGTTTAGTTATTATGAGTAGGCTGGATAGGGTTGGATAAGAGAGCCAATTCAAGTACTGTAGCTGGTTAATCAAGTTGCTGGTGAAGGCCAGAAATGTAAAAGAAAACACAACAACAGGAAAATAGATTCTTCCTTGTAGGAAGAAGACTTATCCAGGTTACGCTAAGTTAGTTAATAGCTCTAACAGCTCCTCCTCAAGAAACAAAAACCCAGATAACTAGTTTTCCTTTGAACTCATGAATTCACTTCCTTTGAAACACTATCCCTTCCCTTGCTCTGCTTGTTCATAAGGGGAGGGCAAGGAATGCAGTCTTGATTTTGTGCTAGGAATGCCCTCCCAACAAACATCTATCACGAGTTTTTCTTCTTATTTCCAGTAAAACCTTCATAATTTCCTCCCATTCTCAGAACCGAGAGCTCAGTTTTGTGATTTGAAATAGGATAATTAGGGAAGATTATGCTAACAAATTTCATTTACTTAACTATATGCAGAACCAAGTTGGTACCTTTGGAAAAGGACTTGAGGCTGAGGGAACAAAATGAAAGAGGCTGAATAATCTGAAGAATAGCAAGAGAGATGATCAGAGATGAAGTGGGTAGAGGGTGTGGAAGCAGAAAAAGAAGGCATCTGTTCTGAGTGAGACGAGAGCCACTGGAAGTCTTATGCAGAGCAGGGACACAGCTGAGTTCCAGGTATATTTACAGGGGCACAAAGGCAGCAGGAAGACTAATTGAGAAGCTACTGCCATAACTCAGGTGAGTGACGGTGGGATGGACCAGCAGGATGGTAATGAGGTGATGAGATTTAGGTTATGTAGAGTCGAATGGAACAGGTTTCCTGAAACGGATGTGAGATAGGAGGGAAAAAATACCAAAACCAAACACAAAACCAAGATACTGGTGGGGGCAACGACAAAAGCTAAATGGTCACTACCTAAAATGAGGGAGGACAGAGGGAGAAGAAATATGGTAACTGTCTTGGGTATTGTCAGTTTGCAATCTCTACAGTCAGGTTTCCAGTCAGAGATTGTGGTGTAGGCAGATGATACTTAAGAAGAGTTCTAGAGAGGGGTCTGGCCTGCAGATAATGTATTTGGAAGTGGTCAGACAGAATTAGTTAGATATAGTAATTAAAGTCATGAAATTAGGTAATATTTGAGGAAGGCTAGAGACGTAGCTCTGTGGTGGAGTGCTTGCAAGGCCCTGGGTTCAATTCCTACCCAACACACACACACACACGCACGCACACACACGCACTCACATGCACAAACACACATATATTGGGGTGAGGAGGTTAGCTGCAGCTGGAAAATAAGAGGAATGGACTGAATTCAGAGATTGGCAAAGGTGAGGAATGAGGTCAGAGAGAGATGAGGTCAAACCAGTAGAAGAAAATAAGCAGACTTTAGAACACTGTTGCCCTGAGGCAATCCAGCAACTTGAATGCAGGTTTTGAAGGCCTCACCTGGAAAAGGGCACTGGTATCTGAGTTTAGTATCTGGTCAAAATAGAATCTAACAGAAAATCTACCCACATTAAAGTAGAATCCTGAAGCTTTGCTCTCAATATTAACAATGAACCAGACCCAAATTTAACATCTGCTTTCTGCCTGTAACTGCTTCTCACAGGACCATAAGGAAACTTACATTGGTGCTCAATTGAACTGACACATTATATCCCCTTCCACAGAAAATTAGCTATTGCGGGGCCAAGGACGTAGCTCAATGGCACAGCGCCTGCCTGGCAAGCATGAGGTGTTGAGTTCGATTCCCGGTTCCAAAATAAAAAAATTCTTTTTAAAATTAGCTGCTGAGGTCATTACTACAAGCTGGCTTGCCTTAATATTTGCTGCCCAAATTTCCACCACTTACTTGATTTCACAAACAAGGTCCCAAGCTAGTAGTGCCTTGAGAGGTTTGGCACAAGCAAATGCAAACCCTCTTGGAGGAAGTTGTTTTTATCTTAGGGCTTTCTGAACTTCTTACTTTCTGAACTTCCTACAATTTTAAAGATAAGAGAGACTGAGCCAAAAGTAGTCAAGTACATGGGGAGAGGGGAGCACACAGCAATCTGTGTTTTAAAATGCAAAATTAGATTGTAGATCCAGGAATTATCAGAGACATAATAAATAATAAGTATGAACATTAAGTTAAAAAAATGGACAAGGTTGAAAATAGGAAACCACAAAAAGTAACAGAATGCCTGAAAAAGTACCAAAGAACTTGTAGAAGTGAAAACTACCATAACCAACATAAAACTCAATGGATTTAAGTTAGACACAGCTGAAGACAGAATTTGTGAACTACAGCTACATCAGAAGAAATTATACAAATCTAAACCAGAGATACAAAACAATACAAAGTACATTAAGAGGTTACCAGATGCATGAAACAGTGTAAATGTCCAATACACTTACTGATTCATCAAAATGCTGGGAGAATTGAACTCAGGCTGCACTTTAGGCAAGGACTAAAACATTTAAGCTGAATTATTTGTTCAGAAGGAAATGGCACATAGGATTGAGTCAATATTTAACGAGATAATGTCCAAGAATTTCAAGTAGTAATGAAAAATTACAATCTAACAATTCAAATAGTTCAACAAACCTGAACAGGTTAAACCAAACATAGCTTCATCTCGGAAGAACTGCAGCACACCAGAAGGCCTTTCAATGCAGAGTGAGGCTGACAGGAAGAGCTCTTATGTAACTGGGTCTTATAGTGACTA